CAATAAAGATAATATTTTCTTTTGTAATGTGGCACGCCCTGAAATAAAAAGAAATATTAAAATCCTGCATCAATACAATTTCTTCATTTAACAATCAATTTGTTAGAGAAACAACAATAAAAATATAAAAATAATGAACAAAATTGGAGACAAAGACTCACCGTAATTATATTCCTGATAATATAGTCTAGTGTCCCCGTGGGCTATTATCATAACAAGATCTTTAATATTCTACTACAGATGAATAAAACTATTTTATTAATTAAATTAGAAAAATGGATTCAAAGATTCACAAGTGAATCTGGGAGAACATTTCTCTCCATCTGTTCTGAGAATATTCTCATAAAATCTCATTAGAGAAATAAAACTCACCAGAGATCAATACGGTCGAAGCTTGCGCCAATTCTAAATACAGCTGATAATTGGGAAGCAAACAGGTCACTGCTACTCCATCGCTGCCACAAAGAATTTCAGCTTCTTCGCATAATAATGCAAAACAGGACATGGATACCAAAACAGCCTCTATGTCTATGCTCCATAAATATATCAAACACATGACCTGGACACGTTACAAATTTCGGAAATTAATTTTAATTGGACATATTTTGCAATAGTTAAAAGTCTGTACCTCAAGTTTAACATGTGCTTGTTTGCTAATCACAACGTGGCTCTCCACATTCGCGTAATCTTTGTATTGAGAAAGGAAAGCATTTCTGCAACTCAGTATCTTGTGAAGCCATTTGAGTATAGTTGTGTAATTGAAAATTTGATGTTGAATCAATTTCTGAGAGATTGAGAAGACAACTTGCGAACTGGCGTCCCAGAAAGTATCAAGCGGCGCTTCTGGATTCCATGCTTTGATCTTATCTGGATGGTGTAGCTCTAACAAAGCCTCCATCGCTTCATGAGCAATATCTGGCATTGTGGGCTGATGGACTAATGAGACAAGTCCATTAATCAGCTCTAAAGTGGACTTTTGTATTTCATGACCAGCTGTGCCGTAATTCTGTAAAGTATTAAATTAATATAAGAGCCATAGGTATCTTTTCTATCTATTGATATTTAGTCTGTATTTTATATCTCAACTGTTGAGATACTATGTACATGCATATGTTTTTTTAATTATTAATTAAGTATACATGAGTAGCAAATGTTATTTGCTATGGTATTTGAATTTTTCATCGATATTCTACTGTAGACGCTTATATTCACGATCGTCTCACATTAATTTATTAATAAAGAACGTACATGCAACATTAACATAGGTTCCACGTGAATGAGTCGCACCAACACCAACAACAAGTTTTTAGAATTAGCCATCTCCTCTTTAGATTTGAGAGAAAAATTATGAATCATGCGCAATGGCGTATTACTACAGTTCTGCGTCATTTTGTTCAGGGTATCAGTAAACATATTTCTGAGGTCTGTGCCATATGAATATACAAGACTGGTCTCTGGCCACCACGATAATCTCGGCTGTGTAAAGATTCTGAAATATGACATCAAACTTGATCAGACTTGCTAACAAGATTTACAAGATTCTCCTGATCACTATGAAAAGAAAATATTTTCGACACTTACTTGTACAATGAGCTGACTAGGACGAATTGGTACGTTGACGGGTAGTTGACATTCAAACAAAACTTAAAGAAAGCTTCGTTGTTGACTGGATCGATACGAAAAGAGCTGACGTAGCAATCGATCATCAAATCGATGTCCTGCGCGCTATAATTCTGTCCGCGTGAAAATTGTTTCGAAGGATTGAAAAGAAGGTTCATTAAATCGTCCATCAGTTGCTTCGCCAGAATTAGGACGACGTTGGTGACAGAATCGTTGCTAACATATGTCGCTGCTTTGATGAGATTGACGCATGTGACAGCAGCAGCCTCAGACAACTGGCGACTAGAAGAGCTACCGTGCATTCTTAGATTACGCTTCACGTTGTCGACGAACTGCTTCTTCTTCGAATACCGTGGAGAATCGGGTGATCCAGTGTCGGCGTTCACGATCTCCAATACCTTGGGCGAGAGTATTAACAACATCACCTGCAACGGCCAAACAGAGGCTGCGCGACTTTTCTTCTCGGCGACAAACGTGTCGAGAATGTCGAATAACTCCTCACACGCCTTACTAATATCCCCGTTAGGCTGCCTTTGCACATCGGTAAACTCCTGCGAATACGTATCCATCCAATTCCAGATAGCTTTCTCCAAAGGATTCATAATCACGAGATACGCTGACTTCTTGCCAGTTAGTTGCCGGACTTTCTGTATAATTTCTGCAACGATAGCGCGTGAATGCGCGCGTAAGTATGTAATAAAAATTTTATATTATGCGATCGTGATTAATAATTAACTACCATTCAGTAGTCTGGTTAATCTATGGACATCGAAATTGATATACTGCATCAACTCAATGTCACTATAATCTGAATTCTCATCCCCGCTATTGGGCAATTCCTGAAGCCTGGCAGATATCCGGTTAAAGACAGCGTTGAAGAAATTCAAACTTAAAGCGAACAGTACTTTGCTCGCTAAATCCCTGATCATTTTCGTCTGTGGACTGTCGTAGGGCATGCCTGCAAAAAATTATAATTATCCCTGATGATTCAACTACTAAACATGCACTTTAATTCTCGTGTGATCAGATATGGTGTATATATATATATATATATATATATATAAGTGCGT